GTGAAAATTAAGTGCATTACAAAGTTGTATTGAGGAAGAATAAACAAGTATTATTTGAGAGTAAGGACTTGTATCGTAGAAGAATTAACAAACAAATATACAGAGACGTAACAATACAAATCGGTGAATAATTCACTTACATTACTCTGTGGGTTATCACAGTCATATCCTGAACTTTAAATAATTGTCTCCTTTTCGTCAAAGTCCACAAAAACGGGTTAAATTACTTTAGAACACCCTTTGACAAGACAAATTATTCTCCTTATCTCTATCAAACTGTGAAACTCACTTTAATATATCACCCTTATAGTTAATCACTTACACGCTGGCTAACTTCACGCTAACTAGTTTTCTACTGAATTGCACTTTTTTTTTTCACTTTAATTTTCTCAAATTCCCTTCATTTTTCCTTAACTTGTTCTCGCTTGGTCGCCTATATTTATACGAGTGATCAACTAGGCCTCGAACTTTCTGTAAAGTACGCGAACGGCGCTGATTTAATAATACTCAGTTAAGGTAACGAGATAAGACAACAAATCGAGAGATGCACAGGAAGATAATAACAATTGGTGTGAACCAATTTATGATAGGAATATGTACAACATAAATAAAATTGATATACATAAGAAGGGAAAACGAACTGCGAATACTGTATGATCGTAACAATCAATGCTGCTAAATTTGCAGGTGATAGCTTTGAAGGCCTTAAAGCTGATCAAAACACTTTTGCAGTAGCTTTAGATTTGGAAAGTGTCTACAATATAGTCCAACTATCTATTCTTGCTGGTAAATTGCTCAGAATAGGTATCAATGTAACATGTAATAAGGATTGTAGTTGCACTAACTGCCAGAAGATACACCCTGAAGCATGGAAACTGGCAACCAAACTGTATCACAACCATACTGATATGTTTGATGAATAACCACTTCCACCAGTCCTTTTTCAATGTCTACACCATGGATCTAGCCCACTTTGTCAGAACATCTAGATGCTGTGTGCTAATCTTTGCTAACGAAATCCTGGTGTACAGTAAGGACCCTAGCAATACTGAAATCAAAAGTAAAAATACAATCACCCATTAGCAGGGTAAGTAAATGGTGCAATGACACAGGAATGGTCATCAGTTCTGCTAAAGCCATAGTCACGTTCAACAACAGATATGTTGAAAGGGCAACCTGCCACAATCCCTCTGGTAGTAACACCTGGGATGAACCTTTGCCAGGCAATTCAACTTCACTAGCCACATTAACACCATGATAACCAAAGGCATCAATATATTGAATTTTGCAGCAGGAAAAAGTTGACAAACGTCACCTGCTTATGCTTTAGCAAAGTTTTATACATTCCATCCTGAATTATGCACTACTGTTAATCATTGTAAGTGTTACACAGCTAGATAAGATTGAAGATATACATTGTTTAATTTTGGTCACTGAATGTACTTCCGCCACCCTTATCAAAGCCATATTACACCTCACAAGCTTCAGCTGTATCACAGAACACCAACAGTTCTTACAGACAAGTACATGATTTACATAGTTACAGGACAACATGGAATCACGTTTAAATATAGTAATTCCAACGAGGGTCGGAAAGCTTGTGGCATGAGTAAAAAAAAAAAAATCGCATACAGAGGGCAGCACTGAACAAGAATAGCTAATCTAAGAAGGTAAGTACCGTATCGGAAACAGCAGATTTAATATACTTACATATTTGGTTTCATAGTAATTCTATATAAAACCCCAATATTAAATTTTCAAAAGCTTACTAAGGACGTTGTCATAATTAAAAAGTTTATAAATTGTTTTTCAAGAGGTTAAGACACATTTTAATTTTTGAAAAACTTGAACGTTTATATCAAAGTTTTATATATCCTCATTTAACATATTTTCTTGGGATAACTATTAGGATAACATATGACGAAATTTTTGGTTTATTTTGAATTTTTCGCAAAGCTACACAAGGACTATCTGCATTAGCCATCCCTATTTTAGCAGTAATAGACTAGAGGGAAGGCAGCTAGTCAACACCACCCACCACCAACTTTTGGGATAATCTTTACCAACAAATAGTGGGATTGATTCTCACGTCATAAGACTCCCACAACTGAAAAGTTCAGCATGTTCAGTGACAGACAATCGAACCTGTGACGTACAGATTGTGAGTCGAGCCCCCTAATGACCATGCAAAAATTATAGGGATAATTACTTTTTCAAATTCTGAACCTCTGTTTAAAGTTAATGATGAAGTTCTTAATACTTAAGTTACATAGTTGTTAGTGTTTGAAAAAGATTGGTGTAACTGATTGAGATGCATTATTAAATTTATTTTGGTTGCAAGACTGGTTTGTATTCAATGACTTTGGTTTCATCAAACAAAGTAAATTATAATAAATATGAAATTACTGCTTCTTAATGATCTGTCCTCATGAAATAACAAGAAGTTAAAATGACTTACCAGATTGCTTGAAGTATAATACTTCCCGTTTTTTCATTTAAGGTTGCCGTTAATTAATATATTTACAATACTGACTTAAGCTTTCACTAAGTTCGCTTCTGTTAGTCACAATCTCATATTGTTTGTTAGACATATCAATTATTGATATTGTTAGGTCGTTTTTAATAAATTATTAACTAATAAAGAAATATTGAATACTGGCTAGATTAACATTAAAATCTGCACTTCCAAAGAAGTTGCCAGAACTTTTATTTTGATCTGGTGAAGAACAGCATAAACAAAATTTCTCTGAAACTTATTTTTAACTGAAAACTTGTAATATTCGGAAATGTTTCTTATTGAAAAGATGATAATCTACATATTGTTCCAATTTATACATCAATTAATACTGTATTAAAAATTTTCAAATCTTCTGATAATTGTAATTCTTTACTTTTAATTAAAATGCATCATATTATCAAAATTTTTTTGACAAAGTACTGAGTTTACTCATTCATTTTTTAATCTTTTTAATAAAAATGTTACTTCATTTTTGTCAAAAATATATAAGAATTTGAATATCTCACACAATAAAAAGTGCGTGAAAATTTTCCAATTTCTTCATCAATAAATTAGTAAAATTAAAATGACAATAAATTTATTAATATTTTAAATAAAGTAGAATTTAATAATCTGTAGATACAAGTCCTACATGGCTTACTTTTCTATATGCTTTCATAAATTTACAAAGTGTTACCTCTTAATAAAGACAGACAGAACAACTTAGTTTGACATACATATCTAACTTTAATTATTACTTTTTTATACCAATACATATTTATTTATTTGACAGAAGTATTAAACATTATAACAGTTTTTTAAGGAAGAAAAATATTGTTGACAGTTATAATAAACTAAACATAATACTTAACTGTGTTTTAATAGTTATAGTTATTTAAGCATTTATCTCTTTTTTTATTACATCCACCTTAATATAGATTTAATATTATAAAAAAGGTAAAACTAGAATAATAATATAATACTGAGTTATGATTTGTAGAAGGTGCAATTTAAGTAGATAAATTCTGTATCTGACATCTATGATTAATTCATCAGATTATGCATAGAATGCAACATGTTTTATTGTACAAGAGTTACTTGGTAACATCTAGCTTTCTCTCGAAATGATCTATAGTAAGAACCAACCTACTTCACCTTAAAGGCATGTTTTACTCAGTAGTCACAATATCATATAAATACTAAACACACAAAAAAGCAGATTTCAGAACAAATTTTTACACCAAATACCACATATGAAGGAAGAAAATAACTTTATAAATAAAATAACACCTTTTTGTAGTTTACCTGTTTTAAAAACTCATTTTGGTCAGTTTTAAGTTTTTCACAAAACTGAAATGGGCTGAGAGTGGCTTAATGTATCAGACTTTGGATCTGTGAATCCATCGTTTGCATCCAGTTACCATATTACACTAACACACAGACAAAAAAAAATCACACACTGTATTCTGGGGCCTGGCATGGCCTAGTGGTTAAGGCACTTGACTCACAGTCACGGGTTCAAATTTCTATCACCAAACATGCTCGACCTTTCAGCCTTGAGGGCATTTTAATGTGATAGTCAATCTCACTATACATTGATAAAACAGTAGCCCAAGAGTTGGCAGTGGATGGTGTTAACTAGCTGTCTTCTCCCTTGTCTATCACTGCTAACTTAGGAACAGCTTGTGCAGATAGCCTTTGTGTAGCTTTGCACGAAGTTCAAACCAAACCTGTACTCTGGGTGAATTATAAGGGTGATGGTCAGATATCATTTTTTGATCAGTCAAGAATAGCCTAAGAGTTGGCAGTGGATGCTGTTGACTAGTTACCTCCCCTCTAGTCTATTAGTTTAAAATCAGAGACGGCTAGTGCAGACAGTCTTTGAGTAACTTTGCACAAATATGCAACAACAGCAACAAAAAGAAAATTTAAACCTAAATACTTTTTTGCCAACTGGCAATGAGATGTAAAGTGTGGTGAAAAATCAAGTCACGAATTGACATTAAACATAGACAATAACAGAGCAAATGATCCCAAAACAGACTGATTATTACTCAACTCTCCTGGATATCAATATAAGTTCTCTCCCCATTGAAACCTAAAATGGCACTCCTATTCTGAAATATCCCCATTATAGATTTTCCATTTGAACTCACAGCCTGGCACTATAACCATAAGGCCATGTAGGCCCCATTTATTACATGATGTTCAGCAAAATTAAAACTGTCAAATAAACTAAACTGAATTTTACACAATACATTTTCCTAGAACAGCATTATTAATCCTATGGAACATTATAAAATTCTGTGTTAATTAAACATTTATGGTTAGAAAAACAACTCATGAAATATATTTTAAGAATGAAAATCTGCTTCTTGTTTCTGAAGGATCCCTTGTACTCTATTAAACATAAATAACTGTAGTTAAATAAATTAAACCTACATCTCTAAACTGTTAACATTACAAGTTTATTAAAACTCATGTTTAGACAGGCTTGTTTATGCTTAATGAAAGTTTAATGTACTGTATACATTATATTAAAAAATTATTAAAGGTTACACTGTGTGTTTAAAAACCTTAGTTTTGCAGTGCTACAGTTTCATTTCTATAGCAGTCTTTTGGTTTGTTGAATGAAGACATCAATAGGCAGTTTGTATAAGGTGAAATAGTGGTTTGAAAGCCTGGCTTCATTCACTGTAATACATTTCAAACTTATCTGTACAAATTAGTTTCATTCTGACTGAAAATATATTCATATTATCAGAAACCCACATTTATGCTAAGCAGTAGTAATAAGCTGAAATATGTCATAGTCCACAAGAACCCTGAGAAAGTGGGCATTGACTGACAGCACAACATCAATCACAACCATATAAAGTTTAATTATTTAGCAAAATAGACTGAAGATAACCCAAGATTCTAAATTAGGATTACTAATACATTAGCATTATGAGGAAAGTTAAACTTTATTAATATATTAATACTATACTATCACAAAGATAAATAAACATTAACAACTTGTATATTTTCTCTGTTTCTTAAAGTTACAAGTTCACAAAATTCTTGTTCACCTAAGCAAACAGGCTAAACTGTCATTAAAACAACTTCAATAGGTTTTGTTGAAAACAAATAATATTTGTTTTGTAATTTTAAACTCTGAAAATATTATACAACATTTTCCAGATTTGATATGTATGATAAACATTGAGCATACTGCACATGATGCATATCTAGAGAATGTCTCTAGTTTTAAGAAAAAAAAAAAGATTCAATGGTTTATAAAGTTTATTAGTCATTATGACTCAGATCATGAACTTGTAAGAGCAAAACTAAAATGGATTAATCAACAGACATTTCCATTATGTTAAGCTACCACTGGTATGGAGCTTTTTATGTATGTTTTTCAAATTGAAAAAAAAACAACTATAAAGTAATTTTACATTTTAGGAAATGCACTTGAAATTATAAACATTTTTAAACAGATACTATTATGAACAAGTATTAAGCTGTTTGTAAAATAATTTTAAGAGCTTATCAGCATTATTGAATTAGGAAGATTAGTAAGCTGCTTAGATAAAACATGCATATATATGCCATAGACTTCAAAAGCTTTAAAAAGTTTGAGTAGTTAATTTATGAAACTAGTATTATACAGTTTATGATTAACTATGTCATTACAAATACACAGTGGTATCTTTACGTTAGAAGGTATCAATAAACATGATTAACTATGTCATTACAAATACACAGTGGTATCTTTAGGTTAGAAGGTATCAATAAACATGATTAACTATGTCATTACAAATACAAAGTGGTATCTTTAGGTTAGATGGTATCAATAAACATGATTAACTATGTCATTACAAATACACAGTGATATCTTTAGGTTAGAAGGTATCAATAAACATGATTAACTATGTCATTACAAATACACAGTGGTATCTTTAGGTTAGAAGGTATCAATAAACAATTTAATAATATTTTTTTAATTAACATGTGAAAGAGAAACAATATCACTAACATCAAAGATGTTGTTTAGAAAACATACTTGCCATGAAAAAAAAAACACTGTAAAGTAACAGATTTATGAAATACTTAAACAGAGTAACTTAATGGAAAGACAATGTTTCAATACAATTGCAAAAAATTTCTTCAGGTTGCATTAGCTCATTCACAGAAAATCACATATATCTTAAAAACTAAGGCCAGTTTAAATGGACAAAAATTATTGTTTTGTATTGAACAAACTCTGTTAATTATTAATTTTTGATCTTAATACACAACCTTCGCAATGAATATAAAAATATGTAATGTTGAATAAAATGTTTTACAAAATGAACACTTCAAGCATATGACTGAAAATAATATATGATGTTCACATTAGCAGGATTTCATATTTAAGCTAGTTCCAATGTGATTTCACAAAAAATATTTGTGTTATTCATATGGATCTGTTCTAAAGCACATAAATTTTTATAATTAACAATGCTACTGCTCTATTATTAAATGTGATGCATCCTTATTATTTCCTAAATCAAACTGATAGAAATTAGTACATATCCAGCCCACACATTAATAACATTTGTACAATTATATACCTGCATATTTATTACTTAAATTAACCATCAGAATATGGTTCAGTGAGAGAAATTTCCCCCTAGTGACAAAATAAATGTTTAATTTAATGATAAAAAAAACTTTAATATAACGTGTATACAGAATAAAAATTAGAAAACTGAGGATTTTGGCAAACTACATTTTTTTCTAATTTGGTATTATCAATGCATGATCTTTCTAGCTACATTGCTCATCACAGACCTGTAGCAAGTATCCACACACCTATAATGCTATCATTATGAAAATCCATGACATTTGTTTATTTTGCTCTATTTTCAACAAATAATTACAATTCTATACTTATTAAAATTTCTATGTGGCAATAATCAAATATACATATTACTTAAGATTCTCATTATACCCATACACTTCAACTTAAATGGCACCATCTAAATATCATTTAACAATACAGTTCTTTAGAAAACAACTTGTACAATGATAAAGTTGGAGCCTTTTTAGACATAAATAAGATTATTTTCGCCGTAAAATTAAAGTTACTATGCATACTGTACAGTAACAGATGTACAAAATACTTAGTAACTTAATAGAAAGACAATGTTTCAATACATTTGCCAATGGATACTATTCTTGGTGTAATGTGTAACTATCCTCGTACAGCCATCTAGCTGGCAAGCTTTAATTTATGGTATTCATTGTAGTGTTTTTTAATATTTAAAGGAAACACTAGATCTGTGATCCTAAAAATAGGTACACCTCATAATTATCAGCACTCTTAAACACAGAGTGGTGGTTGTAGCCCAAAATGTGTCTGGAAATATAACCATTTACACAAGAGAATCTTTTCTAATTTGTTCAATTTCTATACAAATTAATCTTAAATATACAAATCCTACACAATGAGTAAACTAACTGTAACCACAGCTTTTCTACTACTGTGAAAACTTCCCATAATCAACTGTCCCAAGCTACATGCTAAGCAACTCCACCCCCTTAAAAAGTTAATCTTAGTATTGTTTAAAATTTATTTTCTCTTTTTCAAATGTTGTATCAATATGTTTAAAACTGATTCAATCCCATTTACATTTTGAATATAATTTACTAGTTTATTGACCAGTTCTGAAAGAACTATCTTCATAAAAAGGTTTCAAGGCATCATATTTCACAACCATTTGATAAAATTCATATACTAGTTTCATATATTTAAAGCTATCAATTTTTTTTGTTATTCATAATTTGAAACATACTGCCTAATAAGCTTTCTATTATAAATTACTTTAAACCAACTTCAGCTGTATTTTCTAACCTTATAACTCTAGAAAGTATAAAATACAAAAACACTGATACGTATGATTAAACATTTGACTACGACAGAAAAGTTGTCAAGTTTTTTAGCATGGAATTAAGACATTTTCCATCTGTTGATTCTTAAGAGACATTTCAGTAGAAAGAAATAAGATAATGGTCATTAAAAAAATAAATTAAAAATCCATAAATCTAATCTATCAAGTACCAAACATATTCCACTGCATAAACAGCAATATTTTAACAAAAACAAAAGTTATGAGAGTAAAATTAAATTGCCTGAAACATGATGAGTATAGAAAAAGTCATTTTTTATTTCAAATAGCTATCTAACATCTTCAGTTCACAAAACATGCTGAAACATTGAACACCATTACACAGCATAAAGACAGCCTTCTGTTTTCTTAGAAGGAAAACTTGGGCCTGAGAATGGAGAGAACCAACCTAGAGAGAATTGACCAAACACTGTTCTCATGTTCCGTTTTGGTGACTGCTTCTGCCAACGGATAGACTCATTCTTTAGCTGCTCAATACCCTGAATAATGACAAATTTGGAAGTAACATTGGTTTCACTTACATGAAATGAAATATGTGTATTAGTTAAACAGATCCATTAAAATGTGTTTTCATTTAGAAAAAATAAAGTATAACAAACTATTAACCAACTCGAAATCTTTGATCAGTATAAAAATATAATATGTTAAATAAATTATGATTTCACAATGAAACAGATTACATAAATGGCCCTTGTGTTATGTTAAATGTGACTTAAGATCATGTATAGAACATGTGGACCAGATAAACAATCCAAAACCTAACTTCACATTTCATTATAATGTTACAGCTTTGACATAATTTTATTTTCTAACTTGACCACCTGTTTTACATATTATGTTTTTGTACTGATATAAAATATTTTTGCTTTTTACTTGAGAATAAACCTAATCAAAACTTGACAGTTCCATGCCTGCCTTCATAGGTTGTTATATGCATGCTTCAATTATTGTCTGACATCTATAAAGGGGGCTGTGGGTAAATTGAAAAATATTTATTTAATTAAATAAAAAACTTAGCAGCCTCAAGCATTAACATAAAACTGAGATGGTTCTCTGCTTCAAACCAATAGATATCTAAATGCAAACAACATGCCAGATATGAGCTAGAGATGAGTTGAAAAACAGGTGGGCAGTGTGCTACAATTATGGAAAAAAATTAATACAGTTAATAATTCGAAATGGTATATTTAAGTGTTTTACACCCACAAAAAAAAAAGAAACCTATCATTCTATAGATATTTGAAGAACTTGTAGCATTCCGCCACAAATTAATTCTTCGTATTGTTAGTCGACAGTAGGCAGCTGGTACATAATTG